TCCTGGCCTGAGCACAGCTTGGCCCAGTCCAACCCCCCCACCAGGAAGAGCCCAGCACAGTCCCAGCCCCAGCCCTGGCTTGCAGCAGCAGCCCCTGCAGATCCAGGGGCATGCACCTCCCATGCCCTCCTGGGGTTGCGCATAGTGGAGGTGCTGGGAGGGGAGTGCCATGTGGGAGGGGGGGGTCTCGCATGCGGTAGTCGTCGTCACCATCACCGCCACTCACTGCGCTGCCATGGTGCCTGTGCCACATTCCCACAGACTCTGTGGTCTGCTGACTGGCCACATGCCCAGCTAATTGTGTGCCACCCATCAGCAGCCCGCGGAGCTGCATGTGTGACCGGCCATGGGAAAGTGGCACAGATGTGGTGGTGCAGGGTGGTGGGTAGCTATGACAACAGCGGCCGCTGTGTGCGAGCCCCACAGTCTGGCCAGCTGGGCAGCGCCTGTGCGGCCTGCAGAGGGGTGTCACTGCCCTCGCCCTCCCTCGCCCTGCTTATGGGAGCAGGCACAGAAGCACACTTCCCTGCCCCCACCCCCAACCATTCAGATTCTCACTGCTTTCCAGGAAAGAGGTGGAGGAGAGCAAGCTGAGGTGGGGGGAGGTGTTGTGTGGGGCCGGTGGCACCCAGCATGCTCCTCCCCCTCCCCCAGGTAAGAGGCAAACTGTGGTAACGTGCCAGGGGAGACACTGCCACCACACCGCAGGGTGCGCTCTGTCCCTGCCTGCCCGCACGTACCCCCTACGGCCTTTCTAGGTACCCCTGGGAGTACGCATACCCCTGGTTGACAACCCCTGGCCTAGAAAATGGCGCAGGTGCCAAGGTCAGAGAAGACAAGAAAACAAGTTGGCTGATTAGTGACTGCCTCTTCTAAAGCACACATGGTGGCGGAGGGAGGTTCAGAGATGGGCTTCCTGGATTACATTGCACGATTTAAGGCTGGGGGAGTAGAGCTGGAGCTCTCTGGAGAACTTGGCAAAAAAATAATCTATCTCAAAGTAATTATTGTCTAAAGATAGTGTTTTCATCTCTGATTCATAATAGTGTCTGAGTTCTTATAGAAGTGGGAGGGACTAAAATGACAGGTACTTCATGTCTATACAATAAATTAACATTACTTCAAACTATAGTGGATTATGGAATTTAGAAAAAGTCTATGGTGGAACTTCTTATACTACCTGTAACTTCCTCTAGTACTGTTGTGTTGTCTATCTTAAGGGTGGAATCTCTCTTAAATTAAAAAAAAAATTGGACTTGGAAGGTCTGATTTTACCAGCCTTGCTTGCATTGAGTAATAGATTACAGTGCAAAAGATTTGGTTTAGAACAGGGACAGGCAAGTATTTTGGGTAGAGGGCTGCTTACTGAGTTTTGGCAAGCCATTGAGGGCCTCATGACTGGCAGGCCCGGGCAGATAAATATAAATTTTCTAAATTTTTAGGGGCCCAACAGGCCAGATAGAATGGCCTGGTGGGCTGCATCTGTCCCACGGGCTACATTTTTTCCCACCCCTAGTCTAGGAGGTTGTTTTTTTTATTCTTTGTTTTTCCACTGATTTTCTGTGAGACTGATTTTTCGCTTCTCCATCTGCCTTGGTTGTTCAACTTAAATGCCACTTCAGATAGCTTATATATCCTAAAACAGGCATGCTCAATTCCCAGCCTGAGGGCCGGATCCAACTCCTGGAGCCATGTCATGTGTCCCGTAGGGCTCCCTACAGGTTAAAAACTTGGTGGTTGGAGAGCGGCTGCCACTCCACTGATACCAAATTTCCATGGGGAGCCCTGCAGGCTGGATGTTATGGCCCTGCAAGCTAGATTGGGTGTCTAGGGCGGTGTGGGTCTTGATCCTGGCATGCGGGGCCAGGTGTGCAGGATACTGCAGGGCCTGCGCCAGGCATGGGGGCCTGATCCAGCCTGCATACCAGCCCTGTGCCACTCATCTGGCCCACAGGGCCAAAAGGTTGAGTACTACTCTCCTAAAATAATGGGACTCTCGGTTCATTTGGGGACTTTAGATATCATGGTAATAGCAATATTTATCAGCAAGAATGACATGTCTGTCATCGCTATTTTTAGTGTGCATGCATGTATTGTGTACATTTGCATGTGTTTTAAATGTTGAAGAAGAGAACATGAATGAAGTAGAATGTGGCAGTGGTAATGTGAGAGCAGGTTGGGTTTGCCTTTCGAGTATGTATGCACAGTTCGTATTGAATTCACTGGAAGATTTTGTGAGTCTAGACTGATGGAATTCTCTTCAACTTGAAGCAAAGGGGAGAACACTTTGCTCTGTAGACCCTAATGCCAGTCAGTGTTTGTTTTCCTGAAAAGTGATTTTTTTTTTTCTTTTCTTTTTATGGTTTAAAAAAAAAAATCAGCTAAGGAATAAAAATGAGAAGTTAGCATGTCCAAGACTGCAATTCTACTTTGCAGTCATATATTGTACTTCTTCAAGTGATCAAAAGGGCTGGAGGCAGAGGGAATAGTTAATTTGAAACCGACACCTTAAGTGGTTATGGGCAATATTTTCTGGCTTTGCAAGCAATCTTGAGGTTTCCATTGACTATAGTTGGTACCCCATGTAGCCAAAGCCACAATATGTAATGTTTTCCAGTTGGTTTAAGTAATTCTTATCCTTCCATTTTTTAGAAGAAAAGCTGAACTAATTTTTTTTTTAAATAATCAGATGGAAGTTTAGATAGAGTGCACTTGCAAATATAATCTTAGGGAAACATGTCTGTTCAGTGGAAAGGTTTAGAGTTCAAGGCCTGGTCTGTCTAGCTTGCTTCTCTCCTCCCGCTCCCTCTCCCCCTCTTCCATACACATACATACATAGAATTTCAATCAAAGATTTCAATATAGGAAATCAAGCTATGCAGACCATGCCTTGAACTCTAAACCTTTTCATTTGAATATATATCACTGGGCTATAACTCCCCCTGTAGTCTAGGGCAGGGGTAGGCAACCCCTGGTATGGGTGTCAGACTGTGGCGTGTGAAGGCATTTTGCTTGGCATGTGCACCTCAGGGTGAATGGTGGGGAAGGGACTGGGGCTGCATTGCTACAACAAGGATTGACTGGGCCCCTTGCGGCTCCCCTGCTGTCTGCCCCGGCACACCAACTACTTACAACATCACCAATGTTTTTGGCACTGTGCCCAAAAACATTGCCAACACCTGGTCCAGGGACTAGAGGTGTTTATCATCTCTGAGAAATCAGTCCTTTTTAACTTTTTCCCCCTCTGTTTCTCCTTTTGTAAATCAAAGGTACTAATGGGATTGCTGAGGGCTAATTCATGATTTATATTTTAATATTGCTGATATTATATAATATACTTATCAGTATTGTTTTATAAGTGTCAAGGTGAAAAAGTATTTGGTGTAAATAACAAGTTACTTTGTATAATATCAGAAAGAATGGTAGGGAGAAGAGGAATTTAATATAATCTGGTAATTTGCATTCTTGATCCATATATAATTGTTTTTGCTTTCTTAGCTCACTGAGTACTTTGAAGGCAAAAGTACTCCTTTTGTTCATATGACCCCATTTAAGACCGCTAGATCAGAAGTTGTAGTCTAAGGGTTTAATAAATAAGCACGGTGTATATCTAATGGATATATCATTCTTCACATTTATAATTGAAACATTATGTAGGACTGTGCAGACAGATAATAAAAAATTGTATTGTTTCCTTTGGATTGAAATTCAAGAGCATTTAAAGCGTTGTTAAGACCTTTCCAAGCATAACAAAGTCATGTGATCTTTGGCTCAGAAAGGTTTTGAATAAATGAAGTACTATATTACAAAATGAATGCTTGGTCAGAAGACAACAAGATAATGTCAGGAAATTGTAATCTATTTAACTTTCAACAAAATGTTTTGTAAAGTGTATTACTATGCAGTTTAAATGGTGGATGATTTGACTGAATGATACATAAGCTTACTGGTCACTAGACATTATACAGAAAGTTGGATACTGAGGTTATTAGGTGGAAATGTAAACTGGAGTTTGCAGCTCTGGTACATTTCCTTTAGCTATGAAGAAAGTATAGATGTAGAGTTGTATGCCACAGGGAGAACAAGATTGCTGTTCAGTGTTCTGTATTGTCACTATAGCCCTAAATAACTTTAATAACTATTCCTGTTTGCGTAGTCTGCCTCTGACTTTTAGGGCTTTATTTTCATTCTGTGTTTTTCTTCAGGCACTTGCAAGGACAAAGATAAACCTCCAAGCCTCTCTGTTGTCCTTGAGACTTTGAGGCATACCTTGACAGATTACAAGAACAAGCTGGAAGACTCATCTAATGAGGTAACACTTGCACTGTTTGGCTCCACATATATAGCCTTCGGCCTGCAACAGTACGTAGTCCTCCCTTGTTACAAAGGTCAGAAGACTAGGAACGTTGAGTTGACAGCTTCATGTATACCAAAAAGAAATAATCTCTGTCACTACGTTTCCTCTAAGCTTGCCCTACAGTAATGTTTCACTCATATTTTTAAAAAAGTTTTGTTGGTTGGGTTTTCTTTGATTTTTGTTGGGGTTTTTTTTGTTTGTTTGTTTGAACCGTTGAACTAATTAATTTCAGCACACATACATGGAAATGTGACTTTTCTTGTTCTTCTCTATTTAGGGCTTTAGTTGACTATACAGTAAAATATTTGAAATGTAATGTTTTTGATATCAAATATGTAAATATCAGTGCTCTTAGAAGTAAAGAAAAATGAAATTTTTGAAGCCTTTACTGAATTGTGATGTTAAGATTATTGGATTTTTATGTGCTATTTTGTTGTCATACAGGAGGAGTAAATGTCTGCATTATTTTTTCTTAAGATAGCAAAGTACAATAACACAAACATTTTAATTTAGATTTTTTTAAATAATGTAATTTTCATGAAGTCTTAGAAACTTTAACTCACTGATTGAAAAGTTTCAGCATTACATTTATTTTCTTATTTGTATTGCTAATGTGACTTGAATTAATCCTCTTAGATTTAAAATGTTTTAAAATGTGTGGTTTTAAGGAATGTAGAGAACAGTTAATCACACTATTAATGATCGTTATGCAATATCATTAGGCATATCAATGGATAAAATTAGGAAAGCACAGGAAAGCCAAATGTAATAATATAGCACAAATGTCAATTTTTCCCCATTTCTAGGCTTTTTCTTTTGTTTGACAAATATATTGTCTAGCTAGCCACTCATAACATTAAAAAGAATATTAACTTTTCTGTTTTTATTGGGAAAAGAATACTCTCCTGTAGGACCTTCTGAGATTGTTCAAAGGGACACAAAATAAGTGACCATGAAAACACTTATATTTTTGTAAACAGCAAGCACTATTAGGTCTCTCCTAACCAGTGTGCTTAGTAGTTTATGAAACTCTTCTGAGACTCAGGTCTAGAAGCAGCAGAGTAACTAGGAACATATTGCCCACAGCGAATTGTTATTTGGGAGGATGAATGTCACATGATCCTCAGCACAGTTGAAAAGTCGACTCAGCAGGCTTTGGCTTAGTAATACATTTTGTTGTGAAACTGTGCCAGAGACAGCAGTGGGGAGACCAAGGGGTGGCTGCTAAGAAAGCAAAGAGAGTGTTCTGACAGAAAGAAGAATGAACTGTCAAGGAAAATAAATCGCAAGCAGAGCAGGACCAACTGATGACCTGCCACAAGACTTCCCAGTAGGATGGCATGTGACTGACCCTGAGGTTGTCATATGGAGCCAGGGACCACTGAATGCCCTCATGATGCACAGAAAGGGCAGTGCTCTGTCCTTTTTGATTTTCCCTGCAGATGCCATTGCTTCTAGGCTTTTGTGCTTTTTGTCTTAGATGTGTTTTAGTAACAAAACTGTTTTTAATAATGAAGCAAAACTTGGGGATTATCGGGGCACAATCCAATAAAAATAAAATGATTTTCTGTGCAGCGCTAAGGTTCTAGGCTTATACAATCCTATTTTAAGTGTTTTGTTTGTTTGGGTTTTTTTTTTAGTATATAGGTTTCTGACAGGGCTCCGCACACAGATGAACATAATTAATTATTTTGATTTACACACGTCTGGAATATGTTGATGAACCTGTAATATTTATATTGCTTTTACTTTTCTAAATGAACCTTAAACTTAATAACTAACAATAAATTTAGAGCTACTGAATGTTAATAAACTTCCCTGCAACTATGTAAGCTTGAGGGATTAGGGCTGCCTGGTTGAATTATGGACAAGATGGAAAAAACTTCGGTAATTTATGGAAAGTAGCTACAATCAGCACCCTTTATTGACAGCCCATTTGCAAAGTGTTTATAGTTTAAGTGTATTATTGGGTTTTGATTTGATCCTTGATGTTCGGATAGTAGCCATGTGTTCTGACATCAATAATAGGTAGTTGTAATACCCTGAATACTTTAGAACAGGATTCTCAAACATAAGGCCCATGGACTGGATCTGGGCCATAGAGCCCAGTTATCTGGCCCCTGGGTCTTCTCCTGGGTCTGAATTGACCCAGACTGGGTCTGCAGGCAGGGCCTGAACACCTCCCCACAGGCACTGCATGCAGTGTGGGTTCCAAACTTGCTGGACCAGCCACTGCGTGTGGTACAGCCTCAGACCAGTTTGCAGTGCAGCAGCTGCTTTGGGATCCATGCTACGTGGCACCCACCCTAGCCACTCTGGGATCCATGCTGCCCACGGATTCTGTCCCAGGCACTCTTGGATGCAAGGTGCATCCAGCATAATTCCCAGAGCAAGCAGGCACTGGAGCCAGCATGGGGAGGAGCAAGCTTTGGTTTCGATGGGCCCTGTTATCCTGATCCAGCCCACAGACTGGGATTTTTTTTAAATCAGAGAAAAACAGGGTCCCTGCTCTTGTGAGTGTTGGGGCCAGATGAGTTTAAAATCCCTTCTTTAACATTAATCTGTCTTTGGGTACTGCTACTGTAGTTGCAGTCAATGGAGGTGCATGAGCATCTGTGTAGAAAGAGGATACTGCTAATAGGACCCCTTTTTTGTTCTTTTTCCTTTTCTTGTGAGGGGGGCCACTTCTTTTTTTTTTTTGGTTTTTTTTTTCAGTTTTTTTTTTCCTTTCTCATTTTTTGTCTCCATAGATTCATAGAAGTAGGGTCGGAAGGGACCTTGTAGATCATCAAGTCCAATCCCCTGCCCTGGGCAGGAGAGAAAACCGGGCTCAAATGACCCCAGCCGGGTACACATCAAGCTTCCTCTTAAGCCCCCCAGGGTAGGAGCCATCACCACTTCTCTTGGAAGTTGGTTCCAGATCCTAGCTGCCCTGACAGTGAAGTAGTACCTTCAGATGTCTAGTCTAAACCTACTCTCTAACAATTTGTGGCCATTATTCCTTGGTACCCCAGGGGGCGCTAGGGGGAACAGGGTCTCGTCCCAAACCCTGCTGGTCCCCCCTGGTGAGTTTACAGACTGCCTTCAGGTCCCCCCTCAGCCTTCTCTTGTGAAGGCTGAATTGGTTAAGGTCCCGTAGCCTTTCTTCGTAGGGTCTGCCCTGCTGTCCCTGGATCATAAGGGTGGTCTTCTTCTGGACCCTCTCAATGTTGTCCACATCTCTCCTGAAGTGCGGTGCCCAGAACTGAACACAGTACTCCAGCTGTGGCCTGACCAGTGTCGCATAGAGGGGGGAGAATCGCCTCCTTGGCCCTGCTTGAGATGCATCTGTGGATGCACGACAAGGTACAGTTAGCCCTACTGACTGTGACCTCGCATTGTCAGCCCATGTTCACCTTGGACTCCATAATGACTCCAAGATCTCTCTCTGCCTCCGTGCTCTGGAGAAGGGAGTTTCCCAGCTTATAAGTGTGCTGCTGGTTCCTACTGCCCAAGTGCGGCACCCTGCACTTATAGATTCATAGATGCTAGGGTCGGAAGGGACCGCAATAGATCATCGAGTCTGACCCCCTGCATAGGCAGGAAAAAGTGCTGGGTTTAGATAACCCCAGCTAGATGCCTATCTGACCTCCTCTTGAAGACCCCTAGGGTAGGGGACAGCACCACCTCCCTTGGGAGCCCACTCTAACTGTGAAGAAGTTCTTCCTAATGTCCAGTCTAA